GGAGGATTCATTTACCAAATTCTCTTCCATGACCCTGGAGCAAGTCTAGAATCTGCAGGATAGGCCAGCAGACCTGAGCTCCACAGAAGAGGCAGTGCACAGTTCAAGCCTGGAGGCTAACTTTGGGCAGAATTCCTTCTTGTTCAAGGAGAACTGTCTCTTTTCTAAAAGCCTTCAACTAATTGGATGAGGCCCCCTACACTACAAAAGCCTTAACTAAGTTCACCAATATTTTGGCAAGAAGGTACTAGGTATCCGGCCCAGGGCCCTGTGAATGCTAGGTCAGTGCTCTACCATGGAGCCACATACCCCCAGCCTCAAAGGCCACCAGTTTATGTTAAACTCATTCAAAAACCACTTACACTGAAACACCCAGTATACTATTTTAACCACATATCTGTGCACCATGAGCAGCCACGTTAGCACAATCTATGTGTTCTGTTCACCGTGATACCATTTGGCAATGGTGAGTAGCCATATTGGTACAGGTCTATGTTTAAGTCTAGTTTTCAGTTCTCCTGGGTTTATACCTGGGAATGAGACTTGGCAGTCACATGACAGTTCTGTGGAGGACTTTGCCGTTTGTTGTGTTTTTGAAATAGAATCTTGCTATATAGCCTGAGCCCACCTTAAACTCATTGTGCAACCCAGGCTGCCTTTGAACTCACGATCCTTCTGCCTTAGCCTTGCAAGTAGCTGAAATTACTGGGGCGACCCATCATGGATATCCTGGAGACTCTTTCTTTTTTCTACCTGCATAGTGATGGCGCCCAGGGACTTGCATCGCTTAAGCAAACACCAACACGTTGTGCCCACCCCTGAGCCGAGATCTCTTGAAATCTATCAGCAGTTCCACTCTTTTCAGCTTCCTGACATTTTCCATGTTCCATGTTCACTGAAGCCGCTGCTTGGTATTTAAAGTTCATTTTGCAATACCAGAGGACTTCCTTGTCAAAGCTTGAGACAGGTCACGGGATACGTGACTCCCGGCCCCACGCTCACCCCTCCCCACAGGACAGCTTTCTCCTGGCTGAAGGCTCTGCCTCCTCAGGGCTGCAGGTGCCAGGGGAAAACAAGTGCAAAGCAGGACAAGTCACTCACCCCTTAAACTTGGTGGGTCACTCCTCTTCCAGAAAGTTCATTTACAAGTCACTGGGCAGAGAAAGGAACCCTAGATCCTGAAAAAGGTCACTGTATTACACCTGTAATCATAGCTACTCAGGAGGCTGACACCTGAGAATCGTAGTTCAAGCCAGCCCAAGTAGGAAAGTCCATGAGACTCTAATCTCCAACTAACTGGTGAAAAGTCAGAAGTAGAACTAGAAGTGGCTCAAGCAGTAGAGCACCAGCCTTGAGTGAAAAAGTCAAGCAAGAGCAGAAGGCCCTGAGCTCCAGACTCAGTACCAGCCCCAACAAAAAGTAAAACATAAAAATAAAAGGGACTGGGGATGTGGCTTAGCGGTAGAGTGCTTGCCTAACATGCATGAAGCCCTCAGTACCGCATACACAGAAAAAGGTCCAGGACTGCCAAAAAACAAAAACAAAAAAACAAAGTCTTTGCCAGGCGCCGGTGGCTCATGCCTGGAATCCTAGCTACTCAAGAGGCTGAGATCTGCCTCACACACTCAACTTGGTCTTTTTTGCTCACGGTTGGTGCTCTACCACTTGAACCACACCTCCACTTCCAGCTTTTTGCCCAGGCTGACTTTGAACTGTGATCTTCAGATCTAAGGCTCCTGAGTAGCTAAGATTATAGGCATGAGCCACTGGCGCCTGGCTTCTCACTTCTGAGAATGCTTTAACTCACCGTATTGGTGATGCGTTGAGAAGCAGGAAGCTCAGCCAGTCCTGGGCTCCGGGCCCTGACTGGAGGGAAGCAGAGCACCTGAATTCCCCTGGCATACCAGCGTCTCTGCCCACCACCTGCCCTAGCCACGGATGCAGCCAGGCGCTGTCTCATCAACACCCGAGCAAGTAGCTGGAGGCCAGGCTGGGGTAGCTTGTGATAGGCCCACAATTTCTTTCTTTTCTTCTTCATGTTCAGTGAAATGCAGGTGCAATGGATCCCTCTCTCAATTACTTACCTGCAGAGTCCCTTTGGTGTCAATTTGGCCCATCAGATCCCATGGTTGGGGATGAAATCCTGCCAATAGTGAGTGGAAGGTGTGGACTGCCCAGCCATTCAGGGAAGAGAAGAGACAGAAGAAAAAAAGAAAAGAGGAAAAAAAAAAAAAAAAGAGCTGGGAGCCAGTGGCTCACACCTGTAATCCTAGCTACTCAGGAGGCTGAGATCTGAGGATCGAGGTTCAAAGCCAACCCAGCCAGGAAAGTCCGTGAAACTCTTATCTCCAGTAAACCACCAGAAAACTGGAAGTGGCGCTGTAGCTCAAATGGGAGAGCACTCACCTTGAGCTGAAGAGTTGAAGGACAGCGTCCAAGCCCAGAGTTCAAGCCCCACGACTGACAAGAAAAGAAAAAGAAAAAAGGGGATTTGGGAAACTTTCAATAAAAGAGCCAAAAACCACACGTGATTTATTTTTGCTCCTTAGAATCTTTGCCACATATGGCTTTCTCTTTTTCTTTTTTTGTCGGTTGTGGGGTTTGAACTTGTGCCTTCATGCTGTCTCTAAGCTCTTTTGCCCAAGGTGAGGCCCTACCACTTTGTGCCACAGCGCCACTTCCGGAGTCTCATGGACTCTCTCACTCGGGCTGGCTTTGAACTAAGATCCTCAGATCTCAGCCTCCTGAGTAGCTAAGATGACAGGCGTGAGCCACTTAGATCCATTTCAAGTGGTTTTTTAATTTTGTTTTGTTTTTGGATGGACTAATTTGATGCACAAAGAAGTAGTGAAGCATGGTCTTGAGCCTGAGTTGTACCAGGGAGAGTCTGTCTTCTTGAAGATCAGTTATGAAAAGCCAGCAGGTGTTTGGAGAAAGAGAAACTGATCTTTTCTTTAATCCTCTGCCTTCTGACTCATTCTCCAGTTGAAAAGAAAGAGGAAAGTGATTTGATGAGACAGAAAGGATGTGGAAATGGCAGGTGTCGGTCATGGGGAACAAAGGGAAGTCCTTGTGTTTACAGGAATCTCACACCTCTGAACTTACATCTGGTTAAGTCCCATAGCTGAGCACTTGCCTGAAGCCCCGGTTCCATTCCCAGCCATGAAAACAAACATCAAAAAATTAATAGATTGGAAGTGGTGCTGTAGCTCAAGTAGTACAGTGCTAGTCTTGAGCTGAAGAGCTGAGGGACAGTGCTCAGGCCCAGAGTTCAAGCCCCACAACCAACCAAAAAAAAAAAAAAAGACTGGCTGTCATTTGGCTGGGAAGGTGGCTCCGTGGTAGAGCGCTTGCCTTGCATGCATGAGGCCTTGGGTTTGATTCCTCAGCACCACATAAGCAAAAAGAAAAAAAGCCGGAAGTGGCGCTGTGGCTCAAGTGGTAGAGCGCTAGCCTTGAGCTGAAGAGCTGAGGGACAGCGCCCAGGCCCAGAGTTCAGGCCCCACGACCGGACCCCCCCCCAAAAAAAAATTAATATATTTATTATTTCTAGGTCCTTACTCTAACTAAGGTCTGGTGGCTCATGCCTGGAATCCTAGCTCCTCGGGAGGCTGAGATGTGAAGATCCCAGTTCTAAGTCAGTCAGCAGGCCAGACAAATCTTATATCCAATTAACAAGTAAAAAGCCAGAAGTGGAGATGCGGCTCAAAAAAGCTCAAGGACAGCACCCAGGACTTGAGTTCAAGCTTTAGTATGGGCACAAAAACGTGAATTACAGAGGCTAGATGGTTGGAGGGAGGAAAGCCAGGTAGGAGATGGTATAGGGAGGTGGGAGGTGATCGGGGTCTGGGCACAGGCGGCTGGGGGAAGATTATGGGACCGATTTGGGACCCTCTATTGGAGAGAGACATTTAGCTTTCACCAGCATGGGGAGGGACGAGGCGTGTACATTCTTTCTCTGTCCCCACTCCCCTTCCTAACAGGGAACAGAAAGGCACAGAGAGGAGAGCTGCGGCATGTGAACTTCCTTGCAGCAGCTGATGGGAACTCAGAGCTCAATCCTCCCGGCCCACGGCACCGTCCTGCTGGCTGTGCAACTTTGTCACTTGGGTCCACAGAGATGCAATGGATCAAAAGCTGGGGCCTGGGTGCCGTCCCTGAGCTTTTTTTTTGCTCAAGGCTCGTGTTCTACCACTTGAGCCACAGGCTCCACTTTTTGTTAGTTCATTGGCAATAAGAGCCTCATGGATTTCCTGGCCGGGCTTGGCTTCAAACCCTGATCCTCAGATCTCAGGTTCCTGAGTAGCTGGGATGACCAGCGTGGATGCTCAGCGGAGGACACCGGTCAGTGAGCAGACCCTTGAGAGTTCTGAGGGCTGTTGTGGTTGGCTGTGGGCACAGGAAGTGGCTGTGGGGCAGGGCCTCCCCTCTCTGGCACTGCCTGGAGGCCCGGTGGGACAGGGAGAGGACGCAGTCAGGCAAAGGTCGGGGAGGGAAGCAGAGGCCAGAACCACTGCAGGGAGGGAATGTTTGTGTTCCTCCCCCAGGAGGGAGGGCAAACAAGCTCCCCTCCCACCCCCTCGCTTTCGGGGCAGTTTTGTGTGTGTTCTCTGGCACAGACGGAGTCCAGGGTGAAAGAGAGAAGCAGAGACTAGGGTTTCTTCTGGGGCTGAACTGAGCCACCCTTTTGCAAGGATGGATCTCCTTCCAGCTGCTTCCCAGAAATGACCGCTGCCCACGGGGGACAGCGCCCAAGAGCAGGCAGACTGTGATCCGAACTGAGAAGGAAAAGACCTCTGTCTGTCTGTCTGTCTGTCTCTTTTTCTGGGACTTTCATTCCCTGGCTGAAGTTTCTCTGATTGGCTGCGGTGGCCGTGTCCCCCCACTTTATGTTCCTCATTGGGCCCAGCAGCAGGTTCGCGTCGCATCAGGACCTTCGTGAGAACTCCAGGGACTGAGCAGCACCCTGGACACTTGCCCCCCCCCCCCCTTGGTCCACCATGGACAACGGGTCGTGCTGTCTCCTGGAGGGGGACCCCATCTCTCAGATCATGCCGCCGCTGCTCATTCTGACCTTCGTGCTGGGCGCCCTGGGCAATGGGGTGGCCCTGTGCGGCTTCTGTTTCCACCTGAAGACGTGGAAAGCGAGCACCATTTACCTGTTCAACCTGGCGGTGGCCGATTTCCTCCTCCTCGTCTGCCTGCCCTTGAGGACGGATTATTACCTGCGCCGGCGCCACTGGGTGTTCGAGGACGTCTCCTGCCGCCTGGTGCTCTTCATGCTGGCCACCAACAGAGCGGGGAGCATCGTCTTCCTCACCGTGGTGGCCGTGGACAGGTACTTCCGCGTGGTCCACCCGCACCACAGGGTGAATGGCATGTCCACGCGGGCGGCGGCGGGCGCTGTGTGCGCGCTGTGGGCGCTGGTGGTGCTGGGCACCCTGAACCTGCTCACCGAGAGCCACCTGTGCGCGCAGCCCCACGCCACCTCGTGCAAGAGCTTCATCATGGAGTCGGCCAACGGCTGGCACGACATCATGTTCCAGCTGGAGTTCTTCCTGCCCCTGGCCGTCATCGTCTTCTGCTCCCTGAGGATGGTGTGGAGCCTGCGGCGCCGGCGGCTGGCCGGGCGCGGCCGGGCGCGCGTCGGCCGGGCCTCGCGCCTCATCGTGGTGGTGGCCGCCGTGTTCGTCACCTGCTACCTGCCCAGCGTGCTGGCCAGGCTCTACTTCCTGTGGACCGTGTCCTCCAGCGCCTGCCACCCCTCGGTCCACGCGGCCCTCCACGTCACGCTCAGCTTCACCTACCTGAACAGCATGCTGGATCCCCTGGTGTATTATTTCTCCAGCCCTTCCTTCCCCAAATTCTACACCAAGCTGGGAATCTGCCGGTCGAGGCCCCCGCGGCCCGGGAACGCCGCCTCGCAGCCGCCCGGCCAGGCCGGCTCAGACCTGCGCGCTAGGAGCTGCTGGCGCGCGGAGGACGGCGTCCAGGGGCCGGACCGCCCCGCCGAGAACCGCCCCGGCCCTGCGGGGCCCACAGGCGGGCCCCAGGCCCTGCGAACGCCCCCCGGGGGCCACGAGGGCCACCCTGCCCTACCTTTTCTGGATGGTTCCAGTTGATCAAAGTGAGTCAGTTGCCTCTTTCTTTCTTTCTTTTTCCTTCCTTCCTTCCTTTCTTTCTCTTTTTTTTTTCTTTCTGTCTGTCTTTTTCTTTCTTTCTCTTTCTTCCTTTCTTTCTCTTTCTCTTCTTTTCTTTTCTTTTTCTGATGGTCCTGGGGCTTGAACTCAGGGCCTGAGCACTGTTCCTGAGTTTTTTGTTGTTGTTGTTTTTCTTAAGACCAGTGCTGGGCTGGGAAGGTGGCTCAGTGGTAGAGCGCTTGCCTTGTAGGCCAGAGGCCCTGGATTCGATTCCTCAGCACCACATAAGCAAAAAGAAAAAAGCCAGAGTGGCGCTGTGGCTCAAGTGGTAGAGCACTAGCCTTGAGCTGAAGAGCTGAGGGACAGCGCCCAGGCCCAGAGTTCAGGCCCCACGACCGGACCCCCCCCCCAAAAAAAAAAAAGACCAGTGTTTTGTCACTTGATCCATAGCTTTACTTCCGGCCTTTTGGTAGTTATCAGGAGATAAGCTGGCTTTGAATAAAGATCCGCAGACCTCACCCTCCTGAGCAGCTAGGATTACAGGCAGGAAAAAGCAATTGGCAGAACAGGAACAGGTGTGGAGGTAATGGAGCACGCGGTTTGAATTAGAAGTTGCCCAGCCTCTGTAGTAACTTTAAATGGTGGAGGAAATAGAAGTGTTTATTAGGCTATAATGCTGCTCCACAGGCCGTCCATGAACGGAATGTCTTATCGGTGCTTCCTGGCCTCTGGCCTTAAATCCTCAAGTATCTTGGAAACTAAAAAGCGGATTTGGTTGCTATTTTCATTCCAGGCTGTGTAGATCTGATCTTGGGCTTTTTTTGGTCCTGATCATTTTCATCTTCCCAGAGGCCCTGGGTGCATTTCACTGTCAAGGCTTTGACTTCCAGGGAGCCCCGGAGCCCCGCACAGCATCTGCTCTCCCCGTCCAGCTCCAGGCTTTTGGGGGTTTGTTTCATTTTGTTATCCGCAAATGGTGGCATTTTAAAGAAGGCGCTGAGCGCTGTGTTCACCTTCTCTCTTTCCCTAGGGGGGAAATGTGCTCAGTGCAGCAGAAGTGCTTCGCCCAGCTCGCTCTGGGGGTGTGAGCTGCAGGCATTCATTCATACATCCATTCTCCCAGTGTTTGCCAAATCCATGCTCCTCCCTCTCCTGCCCCAATGCCCCTGAGGGGACATGGGTCAGAATTGTGGCCAGAGACCACAGCTCGGGGGATGGTGGAGACGTGTAAGGCCTTTAGCTGGTCCCTGACCACACTTTCTAGAACATTTCAGGCAGACATCGGCCTTTCCCTTTCTTTGCAGGATTTCCTTGCACGGATGCTTCTGGAACTCTCAAAAATGACACGATTGTGTGAAGCGATGCATTGCTTCTCCTTTGGATCAAGGGAAATGATTCTAGGCCAACCTCAGCTTCTTACTCATGCAGGAAGTCGTGAAAATAGTTCTCAATTTCTCTATTACATTTTAGCAAAATCCCAGGTACTCTCCCACATCCGGACCTAAAAAAATAAAAAATAAAAAAATAATACCCTCGAGTTGTCTCTATTATTTCCTTTCTTCTTCAGAAGTGCTTTGTGGCCAGGCGCTGAAAAGTAAGATCTGTATAGAGTCAGATCGAAGTTTCAATCCTAGCTCAACCACTCATTAGATATGGGGTCTTGAAGTAGATATAATTATTATTATTACTATTAGTTTAAGATTTAAATCTTTTTTCTTCTTTTTTTTTTTTGGAGACAGAGTCACACTATTTATCTGAGTTTGGCCTTGAACTGTCTACCAAATGCAGGGATTATAGGTATGTATCACCATGCTGGGCTTGTGACAGATTTTTTTTTTTTTTTTGCCGGTCACGAGGCTTGACCTTATAAGGTGAATCATCCCAGAAGCCACATTTTAAAATATATAATATTGGAGTCTTTATTATATAGTTAATAGGTTGCAGGCTGCCTGTTGTTACAAAGGCCTGCAGCCCCGATTACACATAACACAGCCAGGAAACATGCTAACGTGGAAAGAAATAACAGAAACAATACCAGTGAGCCAATTCAGCTCCAGTGGAGAGCTGAACGGGAACGCCGTGATGGCCGGAGACACAATCACGGAGACACATGTGGCATGGCATAATGCCGCCTAAGTTGGTCTGGGCCGAACTAGATGCACGGAGGGGGCAGATCCTCAGGATATTCCCGCCCCAGGCACTGGACTGACAGATTCAGTAACCTATCAGCCAAGTGCCTGCCCTTGCCTCCAGGGCATGCCCATCACCTGGGAGGCAGGTGATGGGGGGCTGGGGGGGGGGGTTCCTTCCCCCAGCATGAAGACAAGGTGCCAGACCCTACCATCCACCATGTGGCCAATATGATGCCGGCCAGACCTGACCTCCTTACTTCAAACTCAGGGACTGAGCGCTATTCCTGTATTCCTGAGCTCTTTCGCTCAAGGCTAGTGCTCTACCACTTTGAGCTGCGGCACCACCACTTCTGGTGTTCAGGTGGCTAATTGGAGATAAGAGCCTCACACACTTTCCTGACCAGGCTGGCCTTCAACTGTGATCCTCAGATCTCAGCCTCCTGAGATGCTAGGGTTGCAGGTGTGAGCCACTGGTGCCTGGTTTGGGACAGATTTTATACTGAAGTGCTTTTGATTTTGAGTTCCTTGTCTGTTCGAAAGAGATAATGACTTCAAAGGGTCATTGGGACTGGGCACTGGCGGCTCATGCCTGCAATCCTAACTACTCAGGAGGCTGAAATCTGAGGATCATGATTCAAAGCCAGCCCAGGCAGGAAAGTCTGTGAGATTCTTATCTCCAATAAACCACCACTCAGAAAAAAGCCAGAAGTGGTGCTGTGGTTCAAGTGGTGGAGTGTTCACCTTGAGATGAAGAGCTGGGGGACAGCGCTTACGCCTAGAGTTCAAGCCCCATGACCAACAAAAAACAAACAAAACAAAAAACAAAAAGGGTCATCAGGCAGATTCAATGGACGCACAATCCCAAAGCACAGGCCTCGGCTCCCACCTGCGTCTGTCCGAAGTGGCTTGAACACCTGTACCCAGCCAGCGGCTCCATTAATGCCTTCCCAGTGCACGCCTGCGGGCGTGCACAGAGTGCATGTGTGCACATGCGAGCTGGGGGCTGGGGCAGATACATGGAGAGAGGGAGGCAGGGCGAATTCAGTCGTTGCATTTCATGTGCACCTGTGAATGTGAAGCCGTGAACTTGCCAGAATGAACTGGGGTTGGGAGAGATGGGAGGAAAACAGCGGAAGGGGCAATGCCTATGGAGCTGCATTGTTCTTACTGATTGGTTGAGTGGGAATCCCTCTGCACAACTGCCTACAGGTCATAAGAAGATATAAATAGCTGGGCGCTAGTAGCTCACGCCTATCATCCTAGCTACTCAAGAGGCTGAGATCTGAGGATCACAATTCAAAGCCAGCCTGGGCAAGAAAGTCTGTGAGACTCTTGTTTGTTTTTTGTCGGTCATGGGGCTTGAACTCTGGGCTTGGTGCTGTCTCTGTGCTCTTCAGCTCAAGGCGAGAGTTCTACCACTTGAGTCACAGCGCCACATCTGGTTTACTAGTGGTTTATTGGAGATGAGAGTCTCACAGACTTTCCTGCCCGGGCTGGCTTTGAACCTCAATCCTCAGATCTCAACCTCCTGTGTAGCTAGGATTACAGGCATGAGCCACTGTCGCCTGGCTTAAATCTTATTTCTTTTATTTTTTTTTGGGGGGGGGGGAATCTGGTCGTGGGGTCTGAACTCTGGGCCTGGGTGTTGTCCCTCAGCTCTTCAGCTCAAGGCTAACACCACAACACCACTTCCGGCTTTTTTCTTTTTGTTTATGTGGTGCTGAGGAATCGAACCCAGGGCCTCAGGCATGCAAGGCAAGCGCTCTACCACTGAGCCACCTTCCCAGCCCCTTAGATCTTATTTCTAATAAACCACCAGAAAACCAAAAGTAGCGCTGTGGCTCAAGTGGTAGAGCGCTAGCCTTAAGCTGAAGAACTGAGGGACAGCGTGCCCAGGCCCAGAGTTCAAGCCCCACAACTGACAAAAACAAAACAAATATATATATACATATATATATATATAATAAAACAAATAGCTGGGCACTGGTGGCTCACACCTGTAATCCTAGCTACTCAGGAGGCTGAGATCTGAGGATCGCGGTTCAAAGCCAGCCCGGGCAGGAGAGACCGTGAGACTCCTATCTCCAATAAACCACCAGAAAACCGGAAGTGGCGCTGTAGCTCAAGTGGTAGAGCGCTCACCTTGAGCTGAAGAGCTGAGGGACAGCACCCAGGCCCAGAGTTCAAGCCCCACGACCGACAAAAATAAATAAATAAATATAAAATAAAACAAATAAAAAGAAGAAAGCCTGAAGCCCTGTGTCTGCCGGTAAGTGCTCCATATTTTTACACATAAAGAAACTGAGTCCTAAATGACTTCGCTTGCAGCTCAGAGACTTTCACCAGCTACTCAAAACCACCGACTGAGTTCCCGGCCTCCCAGCTGCCCAAGAGGGACACTGAGGACTTCTATCCCAATAAAGGACCTCAGCCTTGAATTCAGGGTCTGCAGAGCTGCCAGGAGCTGGTCGAATCTCCAGAGTACGAGGGGTTAAATGTGTTGTTAAATGCCAGCCGGATTGGAGCTACTCATGAGGCTAAGATCTGAGGACCACAGTTCAAAGCCAGCCCAGGCAGGAAAGTCTGCGAGACTGATCTCCAAATAACCACCTGGAGCTGTGGCTCAACATGGTAGATTGCTAGACTTGAGCAAAAAGAGCTGAGAGACAGCGCCCAGTGTTCAAG